GGCCTTCGTCCGCCTCCCCGACCCCGTCCCCGTCGGGTCCACCTGGGTCCCTGGGGCCAGGGTCTCGGCGTCCGTGATTCCCGATCAGCCAGCCTCGGGCCCACCCCGGGGGACAAGCGAGGAGGGTGGGCTCCTCCCCCGGTGCCTCTGTCTGGTCTACGCCGGAGCCGAGGTCCCGGTCTTAACGCGGCTCAGCTCACCAACCCCCATGGCAGCCCGGTGGAGGGGGTCTCAACATCCCCCCTTCCCATCTCGCGCGCTGGGCCCTCCCCATGTAGGCGGCTGTGCACCGGGGCAGGGGTGTCCTGCAGCTCCTGGGACTCCCCTCCCTCGCTGGTCCACTGGTCTTTCCGTCTCCCACGCAGACCTGGTTGGGGACCTCAGCATGCCCAGACCATTCCCACCTCTGGCCGGGTCCCTGCCCAGTGGGGGCGGGGTTCTCAGCTACCCCTCCTGATCCCACCCTTGGTGAATGGGAGGAGGGAGGATGTCTCCGCCCTTGGGATCCCCCCCCATCCGCTGCCACCCCCATCGCAAAGCCACAGTGTGTCTCAGCACCCCCTTGGGGTTTTCTCCCAACAAGCCGCTTCCGGGGTTCTCCCGCCACCTACAGCTGTGGCTTCATGTTCTGGGATGGCGGGGAGCCAGGAGGGGGCGCCCTCTCTCTCTTGTTTCCCACTGTGCTGCTACCTTTCTGGGAGCAAGGGGGTGGGCTGCTCCCGACGCCTTCTCTGGCCCCGCTCTAGTTAGGGTTTTTGCTTTGTTTTGTTTTGTTTCGTTTCGTTACAAACGCAGGCCCACTTAAAGAAGCACGCTTTGTGCAAGACAAATCGGTGTTGCCCGAGGGCGCGGGTTTGGAACGGTTCGCAGCACCTTCTCCTGGCTTGCCCTATATATCTTGCCGGCGCCCCACGCCCCCAACCCGCCTGGCCGTTAGTCTGAACAGAACTCCTACTCATTCGGTTTCTCTGGCTTTCCTCAGGGGAGAGGCAGAGAAGTTCTCTTTATCCTGGGAAGTCAGCGCTGTTGCTGCTGGAGTGCATGGTGGGGGCGGGACAGTTGCCGCTGACCTCCTCGTCCCCTCCCTGCCCTAGGTCTGACGTCCCCCTTCCCAAGCACTAATTTTCTTGTTACTTGCACAGGTGGCGGAGAGGGTCGTGACGCTGATATTAAAGCACGAGTATCACCTGGAACTCGAGGGTTGGGGGTGGTTTCCAGCGCCCCCTTCTGGTCCCCCTCTCGTCTCTCCCGTCTTCCCTCTCAATCCTCCTCCCTCCCAAACCCTCTCCTCGCCAAGGGTAGAAGCCTATTCCGTCTCCCGTTGTCCGTCACTGGTTGCCCGTAATGGAGGTGTGCTTTACGCGCAGGTGGATGCCTCCTTGCCTTCCACTCATCTCTTCCCACGTAGGAAGGCAGCGATGGAGCACACAAGGGAGGGGGACCCCCGGGGTTCTCCCGCCTCTGACCCCCACGTTTCCCGGTCTCCCCGCAGGGCGGC